TTTTTTTCTTTCCAAATCCAGCTCCTGAGCAGCTTTTAAAGTGCGTTTTGTTCTGCACACACTTGCACATTGGTCAGGCGCTGCCATGCGCTGCTTTGACCGAAATACTGAAAGTCACATTTGGGCTTCACCTTCCCAAAGACTTCACATGCTACCTCCGTACAGACCACACAGACCACACAGACCACACTTCTTCATCCATCACCTGTGCACAGAAAACCTCGGTTACATTTCATCCTTCACTCCTCATCAGGCTTCTACCCCTAAAGCCACTTGTATACAGTATTGTGGTAGAGGGGCTCTAGATTGGGTATAAGAAAGCTTGCACTGCATTTAGGAGGCCCCCGTACTTTGCTGGATGGAGACCCAGACGGGGTCCGGTCATACCTGGTAAGTGAAGAGTCCTTTATCTCCAGCGCCTGGCAACTGTCAACAAGCTGGTTTAAATATGTATTCCCCATACGAGAGAGGTTGGTGTAGGATGGACCCAGACTGTCCGAGAGCAGCTCCTGCAGGTAAGCGGCTGCAAGAAAAAGACATCATCACATTTGTGACATACACAAAACAAGGGGGGCAATCTACTAATACCGGAGCAGAGAGAATCCGGAGCGCATGGCAACCAATCAGCTTCTAGCTTTCATTTTCAAAGCTTAACAAGTCCTTCTGCTGCGGTGGATGATGGGAGTTACAGTCTCTCCAATCACAGATCCCATCAAAAGATCTGTGAATGGATGATGGTGTGCGTGCGTGTGTGTTGAGACGTGGCCACAAAGGTAACGTAAGCCTTTTCAAATGACACTAAACCCCCAAAATGCATTCATGACCCTTAACTAGTAACAACAATGTATCTTATTTGTGTGTCACTCGGCTGTAGAGCCTCCAACCATCTCTGAATTAGGTCCCGGCTGCAGCAGTCTCAGTATATAGCGAGCAATAGCTGAGTTCTTTCAAATAAGATACATGTGGGGGGAATTTATCAAAACTGGAGCAGAGGTGCACAGCAACCAATCAGCTTCTCTCTTCAGTTTGTTCAGTTAAGAGTTTGAAATGAAAGAGAGAAGCCGATTGGTTGCCATGCACCGCTGCTCCAGTTTTGATAAATTCCCCCCATTGCAGTTCATAGTTAAGACACGTGAATGGATTTGATAAGATTGAACTCCGGAGTGTAGTGTCCCTTTAAGACATGTTACGTCCGCTCACTGTATAATATGCGTGACCTCTAAAAAAACCATCCAATCACCTTCAGCTTTTATCTCGGCCGTCTTCATCTTCTGATCCTCGACGACGAGAGTCAGATCCTTATCCCGCGTCTCGTTCCACTCCGCTAACTGACACAAGAGCTCCACGGTCCGCGTGTTCACCTCGTAGGGAGGCGGAGCTTTGTCACCGAACATCTTCTTCAGCCATGTGATAATCTGCAGAGGGGAAAAAAAAGAAAAACACAGACATGAACTTAACAAGGTTCCTCTAAGTCAGGGGACCCTCCGGCCCTCCAGCTGGGTTGAAACTACAAATCCCATGATGCATCTGTTTCTGGGAGTCATGGCTGTGAGAATCTTGCAATGCCCCATCAGATTTGTAGTTCCACAACAGCTGGACGGCCACTGGTTTGCCCACCCTCTGCCCTAAGTCTTCCGGGGTGCCAGTTCACAACACAGGTTGTTGGATTGCGCCGGGGGGAAAAGATTGAACGTTTCATTATAACACAGCAAAGCCACACAGAAGCTCCTCCTCATGAGGAGTGGTCTCAGGAGGCCACACCTCTTTCAATTTCAAAAGTGATACAATGTTTCGAATGTAAGGGAAATATGAAGTGTGTCATGTGACCCGTTACCACCCAACACTCTGGAATTTGAACGTGAGCAACAATGTAACAATGGTGAGAAAGATACATATCAAGGTTCTGATCACACAACACATCACATGGGGTAATAAGAAAGACCCGGATTACCGGCATCTAAACCATTTTTGATAAAAGGAAACTGATCTTCAGCTCATTGTCTTAACGTAGAACGGAGGCCAAACTTATTTTTTGTAGTTCTGGATAAAGTAAGGGAGGGGTATAAGCCCTGTCACCCTTTTTTGCCATCTGTGTCCCACCAGGGAGATTTCCCTTCACTTCCTGTAGTAAAGGCCACTCACTGCTGCTCTCTCTCCTTGTGCAGGGTGAATGGTCTTGTCTCCACCCCCTCATGTAATAAAGACTGCTTACTGTTGCTCTTTCTCCTTGTGCAGGGTGACTGGTCTTGTCCCCACCCCCTTTGTAGTTTTCTGGCAGCCTGCAGTAGGTGGGGCCTCCTGAGCCCCTCCCACATTTGATGACGTCACTACTACTTTTACAAGGTAATATAGTCCCCAATAAACATATAACAGAACTATGGGCATAACTTTTTATATTACAGGAAGAACTCTATGTGGTGTTCTGTGCAGTTTGGAAGTGGTGAGGGACGTAATGGAGGAATAACCCTCCTTGACGTACCAGGCCGGCCTGCTGAGGCAGCGCGGTGTCCGCCCGGACTGACTGCATCATTCCCGGTGGCTGAGCGGAGCCTGCGAACAACTCGTCACTCCCGCTCAGCAACAGACTCCGCCCACTGCGCGCTTCTTTACACTCAGCTTTATTGACAAGCAAACACAAGAGCGGGAGAAGGGCAGCTGCCAGGCGGCTTCCGGGAGAGGGGCGGGATCGTGATGTGATTCACCGGCCAGCGCTGCCCTTGTGCGGGTTCAGTTCCTGACAAGTGAACTTTTTCCGCTCCACAGACATGGGGAGGAGAAATAAGGGGGGAGCTTTCAAAATCAGCTCCTTTAGAGGTCAGACAGAGACCCCCCCAAAAATATGCAAACGTAAAGTGTCTGTAAACTCAAGTTGCAAAAATTAAAGGCACAGTCCACTTTTCAGACCATATTTCATGTCATACTTATAGTTTAGGGTGAAACATGGAAAGGTTCCGTGAATGAAAGACTACAAGTCCCATGTGCCACCACGGGAGAGGGACTCATAGATCTAAATGGAGCACAAGCACGTTGACACCATTGATAACTTTTTTTTTTTTGCAATGGAAAAAACAATGACGAGCAACAGGAGGCGTCTAGCCTCATTCATTGCTAGGATGCAGGGGGCTTTATGCTGCTTGGTGTCCTTCGTTACTGGTGTGCAGACATCTCCTCGCCATCCAGTGTCCATTGTTGCTAGAATGCAGTCATCTCAATGCCATCCAGTGTCCATTGTTGCCAGGATGCAGACGTCTCAATGCCACCCAGTGTCCATTGTTGCCAGGATGCAGACGTCTCAATGCCACCAGCATCTTTTGTTTCTAGGATGCAGACGTCTCCATGCAGCGCAGCGTCCTTCGTTGTTAGGATGCAGACGTCTACTTGCTGCCGTCGCCTTTTTTTTCTAGGATGCAGACATCTCCATGACGCTCAGCGTCCTTTGTTGCTAGGATGCAGACATCTCCTTGCCACCAAGCATCCTTTGTTGCTAGGATGCAGACATCTCCATGCCGCCCATTGTCCCTTGTTGCCAGGATGCAGACGTCTACTTGCCACCCAGCGTCCTTTGTTTCTAGGATGCAGACATCTCCATGCCGCCCAGTGTCCTATGTTGCTAGGATGCAGACATCTCCATGCCGCCCAGTGTCCCTTGTTGCCAGGATGCAGACGTCTACTTGCCACCCAGCGTCCTTTGTTTCTAGGATGCAGACATCTCCATGCCGCCGAGCGTCCTTCGTTGTTAGGATGCAGACGTCTACTTGCCGCTGCCGTCCTTTGTTGCTAGGATGCAGACGTCTATTTGACGCCGGCATCTTTTGTTTCTAGGATGCAGACATCTCAATGCTGCCCAGCGTCCTTTGTTTCTAGGATGCAGACATCTCCTTGCCACGCAGCATCCTTTGTTGCTAGGATACAGATGTCTCCATGCCACCCAGTGTCCCTTGTTGCCAGGATACAGACATGGACAAGTGTTAGGGATTTGGAATTTCATTTTCACTAGGTAAGATGAAGTTCCACTAGAAAAAGGGCCTATGCAATCCTTTATGAGTACCCTTTCAGGAGAAGATGTTCTCCATATGGGAGGAAGAGTTATTTGGGAGTTTCCTCTACAACAGAGGCTAACTGAGCACCAGAGTTACCAAAATGTACACCTTACTGGAGGAACCTTGTTGGGCCACTTTGTTGGAGAAGTTTCTGGTTGATTCCAAAATGACTGTTGGCAATTGTTCCCTTCTGCAATAAAGTTTTTGATTTCTGCTGGCTGAGGAAGGTGACCATGTGCTGGGACAGAAGCTTGCCCTAGTACAGGGGTCCTCAAACTTTTTAAACATGGGGCCAGTTCACTGTCCTTCAGACATTGCTGGGGGCCGGTTCATAGTTTGAAAAACCGCGCCCCCTCCCATACCAGAACAAAAGTTTTTTTTTTACATTATGTTAGGAAACATTTATTATCACCCAATTTTTTGGTAAAATATAAAAGAGGGGTCACGTCCGGTAAATAGACACCAAACATGTCAAGCATACAAATTGCGCGCACTCGCAAAAAAACACCACAGCCAAAATTGACCATAGGCGACGCTTTAAAAGCTTTTACCGCTCATCAGTTTAGTGTTATCAGTGATTGATGACCCTAAAATTATTGCTCTCACTGCGACGTTCGCGGTGATATGTAACATGTGCGGCGTAATGAGCGCAATTGTCGTTTTCGCAGGTATGAGCACTTGACGCATGTTTGCATGCGTGTATGTATGGGTGGGGACTTTAAAAAAAAAAAAATTGTTTTTGTAATTCTTTTTTATGTGTAACTTTAAAACATTTTTTGGGAAACTTTAATATTTTTTTTCACCTAACTTTATTGCTATCACATAGGGGGCTAAGAAACCCCTCCTATGTGATAGCAAAATATGTGACAGGTCCTCTTTATTGAGACATCAGGGGTCTCCAAGACCCCTAATGTCACCTAGGACCCCCGAAGAAGCTGATGAAGCGGAGGTCTGCTTCATCAGCTTCTCTCCAGCGTCTAAAGCTTGAGAGCGACACAAGAATGCGGAAGTGATGTAATATACATCACTTCCGCAACACTGGAGAGGGGACCGGAGGGAGATCGTGTACCGACCTCCCTCTGATCCCCTGTCAGAGTGGCACTGTGCTGGTTGATCAGCGTGACAACGAGAGGGGGGGCCGCGGAGGGAGGGGGGGACACGGGCCGACCGCCCTTACAAGCGATACCCTTGTATGTTAACAGGCATCTCCGCCTGTTTTTAAATTGGCTGTATTTCCCGCTTGCGCGCGGCGCGCTAGTGGGCGTGGCTGATCTAGGGATATCATGGAGTAACTTCAGCCTGAATATGGAGCCTGAGGAGCTGGGAAGACATTGGGTCCTGGCCTGAAGTATGGTCATTTCTCCCCATTGATATGGTAGCTCCAACATCCAGTACCTTACAGTCAGGAGCTGAATTCACAGACTGCCGGTTCAGGTTAAAGGTTCTCTATCACTGAAGACTGTTTGACCTCTTTCTGTAGTCTGCAAGTCCATGAGTGTCCTGTGTCCTAGCCCACCCTCCCAAAGCTCTTAAATAAATTGCGTGCAAGTAAAACATTAACAGCGAGGAAGTCAGTTAATCAGTCACCACTGGCGGGTTGGTGAGTACTTTGGGGCATCTATGAAACCTCGTACCCTAGACAGGCTAGGAGAGCCCAATTTATGAAGCGAACCCTTCAGGGGGTACCTAGCGATCTTTTACACTTTTAACCAAACCAGGCTGGACATTTCTCTGATATGGGCTGAGGCAATGGAAATAGAAAGATGCTCCACACCAAAGTGGGCTCTGTTGATGAGGAGAGGAGTGGTGTGCCCGATGTCCACTATGTGTCCTAGGAAAAGGTAAAAGGGCACTCATGGGCTCTGCCTGGATGACACCGAGCCCAGAGTTGTGTCCTTTTTGGGGAGCCAGTACCCAGCATCTGGATTTGTCCTTGGTGAAGGAGCTCCCCTCCAACCGGATGTCCCAAGGCCGGGTGTCACCCGGTCTCTAGAACAGTCATCACGCATGTGCAGCCACTAGTTGATGCCTACCCGGCTGCCATGTTGGTGATGGACGCCGGCAGAGAGAGGAGGGGATGTTCACCCGGCGGGATGAGGGATGCTGCCGGGTCCCCTCCTCTCTCCTGACACTGTCGGGCTCTCAGTCCATGACCAAGTGCCTGACCTTTTAGAGGGGGTGACACTAAAATGACTGTCAGTCATTTAGGTGTCACCCCTGCAATGGTGTCACCCGGGTGCGGGCCGCACCCCCCTTGTGATGCCACTGCCTCCAATGTCTGTCCCTGTGGTAAGAGAGTATTTTGTGAGCCCCATGTTTAGGTCCCTGACCACTTAAAAAAATAACTCTTATCTGGCACACAGCTTCAACTTCCAACGATTATTGAAGTTCCATACAACAGCTCACATGGTCATCCTGACCACTTGTAACTGAGAAGAGCCCTGAAGTTACTAGGAGTGTAACTGCCAGCACATCTACTTTATATTCACAGTGCAGGTAGACATCTATGAGGCTGAAACGCCTAGGCACTCTTGTAATGGGGTGTTATTTACAAGAGGTCGGGTCCTGGCACTTGGTTACGCCTCCTTCCCCCTGGCGTGCACGGCAGGGTGATGCTGTGGGGGGCACAGTGTCCCGGCATTCACTCGCTGCACAGAGTACTAGGTGGTCACATGACTGCTGCTGTGCTCTGGGCACTCGGGAGCCAAGCGGAAGAATGATTTGTCCTCTGTAGACATCTAATCTGCGGAAAAATTCGGTTTGTTTCGGATATTTTGTTATTTCAGGATTCGGATCCAAAATTCAATTCTGTTCGGGTTTTGGATTCGGAGGAAATCCGAATTTTCCTTAGTTTCGGATGAGTTTATAACTATTAGTTGTAAATACCACAGAAAACCATATACAGATATCAATACTAAAGCTGAATATCCCAGAACGTGGATGGCATTCGGGATCCGAATTTCTGAATTGTATTCGAGAGCTCCCGAATGCCATTCGGGTCTGGGAGCCATATACAGATATTACTAAAGCTGAGGCTCCCGTGGTAACGTGGTGCTACCCCTCAGGGAACCGCTACCTGGGTGTAGGTGCATCATACATGTATGTAGTGAGAGAATGTGGTTGTGGTACTGGGCCTCGGGCCACCTGTAACCAGCTAGACCAGGGGTGGGCAAACTCTGTCCCTCCCAGCTGTTGTGGAACTACAAGTCCCATGAGGCATTGCAAGATTCTCACAGCCACAGAAATTACCTCCAGAGACAGATGCATGATGGAAATTTGTGGGTTCACCCAGGGGCGTCCTGAGGTCGGGTGTCACCCGGTCTCTAGACCGAACCACTGGGTTCACCACAGCTGGAGGGCCGGAGTTTGCCCACCCCTGAGCTAGACCATAAAGGCCACACAGATGGTAATGTGTGTGCCAGCCACACAGGAAAGCTGGCCTTGCCCTCATGCTAGACCAGGGGTGGGCAAACTCCAACCCTCCAGCTGTTGTGGAACTACAAATCTCATGAGGCATTGTAAGATTCTTCTCTTTGATTTCTTTAAAAAGTAGAAAAACCCTTG